TCAATCCCTGGTACAGCATGCCATGCTGGCCCCAGCCTAGGATGCTCAGCTGGCCACCAAAACCCAGCCTGGCTGTGCATGCCTGTAATCCCAGTGCTGGGGAGGCTGAGATGGGAGGACCACTGCAAGTCCAAGCTGCACAGTGAGACCCTGTACCAAATACACAAAATTCAAAAAATACCAATAATAAAAAAATATAATACCATAGTGTAGAATTCCTGCAGCATACATACGTGGGTATGGCCAATAAATGATAGGCTGTCTGCCTACATCTACACTTGAATGTATACATAAGGTATATATGTAGATATACTCATATATATCTCCTGTATACAGGAGATATATACACAAAATGAATCATATATATATATATATATATATATATATGCATATGTATGCTCACATACCCACAAATACACAAATACAACTTGTACTTCATCATATGTCATGTAGTAGAGTGGGAGAAAAACCTACAAAAACACTAGGATCCTGCCCAAGAAGGTAAAAACAGAAACTTCACATGAAAGAAAGGTCAAACTTGAAAGAATTTAAAATTTAAAAAGTACATTTGAGATAGCATATTTCATTCTAGCTCCAAACAGTTTTGATGCAGTAGGGCTGTTACACACAGTTTAAGTGTTATGCTAAAAAAAAAAAAATTGATCTTGATATTTTTAGTGAATTCTGATTGGGAAACTCAGGATGGAGGGAGAGAGACAGTGGCACGGGTATGAGGCTGAGCCACCTGTTAGGAGCTTCAGTGTAGGGCGTGTGTCCTATGCATGCCACATGTTAGTGCTAATCTTCACAACAATCCAAAAGCAGGGATTGTGTTCTTAATTTCACAGAAGTGAAACTTGAAGGTTAACTAACTACTTAATGGAATACAGTTAATCAGGTGGCAGAGTGAGAGAGATGGAATTCAAACCACTTCAATTATGTAGATCTTTGGAGGGATGGATGAAAGAGATGATAATTGGACAGAATCTTTTTAGTGAAAGGATTATAGATGATACCATGGAAAAAATAACTATATAAATTAACAGTGTGATAACAATAATTAGATTGGGTCATGGTCATCATGGTGCAAAGCTAACAAGGTGGACCACTGGTTAAAAACAACAACAAAAATCAAAGTCAATAAAACCAACCAACCAAACTAAACCCTCTGAGATCAGGTGATCAAATAAAAGGCCTATGGTCACTGTTACATTAACCACAAAAGTATTCTGGTAAAATATACAAAAATAACTTTTTATGATTATTTTGTAGTTTAATAAAAAATAAAAGTACAAATCTAAATATCATAGTTTACTTTTGTCATTCAATACTATTGAAAATCTGATAGCAAGAATTACTATCAAGTATGATTCATAGATTAGTTGGTTGATTGATACTGGGCCTTGCACATGCTAGGCACGCATGCTACCATCAAGCTACAGCTCTAGTCTTAGTATCTTTTATGCTAAAAAATGTTGAAAGAACTTGGGGATAATTATTGAGTATTTTCTTTCCCCCTCAGAGTTTGTTCTTTGTAATTATGTGAAGTCTTACTTAGGGGTTATTTTCTTTAATAAAGGAACTGACTTGTTTCCAAGACAGCAAAGAATCATATGATAAAAAAGAAGAAGAAGAAGAAAAATGGGATGATAGTAGCATCTATTAGGAAACACTTCCTTAGTTTTTAAAGCCCAGGCATTTTTTTCAGAAAAAAAATTGGAGCCAGTGACTGTACTAAATGTCATGTTCCTTTTCAGTGTGATGGAAGCCTGTCTCATCATGCTCCAGATTCACCCTTGGGTTGAGGATATAGCTCAACAGCATAAGTACCTGCCTGGCAAATGCATGGTCCTGAGTTTGATTCCCTGGTACTGAAGAAAAAAAAAAGATTTGCCTTTTCTGGGAGGTCACTGGGATCAATGGGGCAGGTGTTTCGCCCATGAGGCTGAGCTGTCTGTGACACAGACAAGGCTCCTGGGACTTCACTGCACTTTGTATCCTTAGGGTTTGTTCCCAGGCTTTTCCACTCTTCCCCTCTTTCCTCCCTCTTTGCCACTCTTGATAGTTTTCTGTTTCCTTACTCTGCCTTTGTTGCCCCTCATACTCTCTTTTTTAATGTAGGGATCCATCTTCCAGTTACTACAGACACCTTTGTCATAAGTGCCCTCTTGCCGCCAGGTGACCCTGGAACACAGCCCAAACACTATAGAATAAACAAAGTCATTAAAGTGGCCAGCTGTGTGTTTTGTGCTGGCCACTGATGCCTGAACTGTTTCTGGACTTAATGCTCAACATATTAATAGTTCAGAGAAAACCAAGGTACATTCTGGTTGGCCACAGCCCACCTCTATGTAGCTTAGCATATAAAAGCTTTTCTCTTAACCTGGGATGCAGGGAACCTCTAGTCTTCCAGCCACCCAAGACATACTTCTGTCCTTAAGCCCCCAACAAATTATACTTGGTAGAATCCTGGTTTTGTCTGCATCTTTCTTTAGTCTTTGGCACCTTCCACCTTTAGCTGATTCTCATGGCACCAGAAGGATGTATAGCAAGGTGAAATAAATGTATTTCCCACATAATGACCAAGTACATTTTAGATGATAAAAATGTTACTATGATTATCTGTACTGTTAAAATACAAATACATATAACATATATATACACACATATATACACTATATATATAAAACCAATCATATTATAAAAATGCTAATATACTTAGTATTTTATTTCACACTGTGGAAATTAAAAAATCTCTCTTTCTCTCTCTCTCTCTCTCTCTCTCTCTCTCTCTCTCTCTGTCTCTCTCTCTCTCTTCCTGACACTCTCTCCCACTTATGGGTGGAATACCTTTTAACAGATTCAAGACACTTCTCTGGTGCTGAGTACACTTTTAGCTGTTGACGATATGTAGTTTTCTGCACTTCAAACCACTGCTCTCCCTTCTGCCACCCCTGAAGAGCTATTAAAAAGTACTAATTATTGCCCCAGTCATAGGCAACTTTTCAAACTTTGTCCATTAAGTAACCATTAGACTACATATTGATACTAACATATGAACTATGTCAGCACTGTTAAAGTATACATTTAAGATGACATATAAAAAGTCATTTCATCCTATGATATTTTAATAGTATATACTTATATTCTGAAAAAAATGTAGAAGTATATTTGAATTATGTAAAAGCAACAATTAAATTGCTGAAATGCTTTTAAAGAAATGAATCTAAAGATATGCTTACAAGTAAATTAATTTTATCTACTTCACAGTTAGTCTGAAAGCCTATTGTTATCTTAAAATATTTTTGCAATACCTTTTCTGAAATGGCCTTCCAAACCAACTTGGTAGGCACTAAAGAAAATCAGACTCCATTTTAGTCATCTTAAAATTTATTTTTATCATAATTATTATTACCCCAAACAAAAACAGTTCTAGCTAAGTTGCCACCTGCCTATACACTAACCTATATGTCAACTAGCTTTTTGCTTACAAACCTTTTATCTGCTTCCAAAGAACAAAGAGTTTTCACTATTGGAAAATGAACATGACACAACCATTAATAAAAATTTCAAAAAAATATTAAAGAATGTCAAGACAATAAGTACAAACAAATGGTTTTTTAAAATAGAAATCCTTGGGGTCCTATCACTCACTGGATGTGTGAAGTCTATGCCATTTTCTGATAGGATTACTGAACATCTTTTTGATCAGAAAACATATGGAAACACCAAATGGAATGGCTGCCAGGGGCTAAGGGAGGGGAAATGGGGAGTTACTGTTTAGCAGGTATAGATTTTTAACTGCAAGCTAAAAAAGCTCTGGAGATTGAATGTTCACCAATGTGAATATATTTAAACCTACTAAACTATACACTAAAAATACTAACTCTTATATGTCTTATAGTGTACCAGTGATAGAAAACCTTTTAGAGCTTTCAGTGATAACAAATAGCCTGTTGCAGTATACGTGCCAGAGCTTCACTACCACAGCATTATCCCACAATTAAAATTTTTTAAAAATTAAGTTAGGTGAAATAAATGTATTTCTCACATAATGACCAAGTACATTTTAGATGATAACAATATGTTACTATGATTATCTGCACTGTTAAAATACAAATACATATAATATATATGTATATACACATATACATTATGTATATAAAATCAGTCATACTATGAAAATGCTAATATACTTAGTATTTTATTTCACCCTATGGAAATTTTAAAATTATACTGATAAAACAGTGGGACTTCTTCATGTCCCATGATGTAATTCTCTATCTCTTTTCTCTACCCAGGTCTCCTTCTCTGTTGCTATACATCCTTCCAGAGGTATTCTGTGCCTACGCACCTCAAGGGAAGCTTAACCCCTTCAATGATGGCATGGTGTACCCAAAGCACTACATGTTGCTTCTGTCATTTAACTGCATATATCAGAATTATTTTTATGTGAGCAAGCGACAAGGATTTTTAGTTGTTTTTCCACAATGTGACAGACTAGCCTTATTGACTGCTTCTATTTACTGATGTCTCTATGATGCACATCATACATAGTTGGCAACAATCAGGCCTAAGAAATAGAATTTTCTTTCTTTTTATTTTATTTAATGCATTTATTTATTTTTATGTATTTGGTACAGGGTCTCACCACGCAGCTTAGACTTGTAGTGATACTCCTGTTTTCAGCCTCCCCAGAGCTAGGATTACAGGCGTGTGCCACCACGCCCAGTCTGGGTGGCTGGCTCAGCACTCCCCAGGTGGGGCCAGTGAGGCATGTGGTACTTACTGGAGATCGAACCCAGGCTGAGCTGAGCTATCTTGCTGGCCCTTTTTCTGTCTTTTTAAAATGAAATTTTAAAATAAAATTAAACTCTTGGGTTAGGGGGTAGTATGTGTAAGTCTCCAGGTTCAATCCCCAGTACTGCAGGAGGGAAAAATCAAACTGTCTTTTCAGAGGCCACACTCAAAAAGATAGATTCTAAAAAAACATTTTTTACCTTAAAGGTAGCAAAGGCATCTGAAGCAATATCAAATGTTGACAATTCCACATACTTGAAGAAATCCCGGAATTGATTAGAAAAGAGGATGATTTTGGCAAGTGGCTCATGCCGAATACATTCTCTCAGCATAATCCCACAACGCAAGGCGATCTGTGGGGCTTCATACCTACAGAGTAAATAAGAGAGAAATATAGAAATTTATTATCCCATTAACAAAATATATCAGTGATATCAAAAGAAGCACTTCAGTACTGCCACTAATGGAAACACAGATACCATCTGTCAAGTTCATTCAAGAATTATTTGCTCATGACTCCCTGGCCAGCACATATTCCAGATGCTGGGGATACCACAGTAAACAGCAAGCTCCTCTATGACAGTCCTCATATTTTAGTGAGAATGTGTCTGGTGAAGGGAGGAGGGAGACTTAAACAATGCAAAGATACTTTTGTATGCTCTGAAGTGTTGTGAAAACTGAAGACAGTAACATGGGCAGTACTACGGAGCATGACTTAATTGTGGGAGTGAATGATTACTTAATTTTTCCTGATTGAATGGAACAGGCAAAACATTCCAAGCAACTATACTAAAGCTCCAAGGCAAGAACTAGCGTGGTGAGTTGGAGGAGAATAAGCATGGCCAGAGTGGTGAAGACGGGCCTGGCAGCGAGTGGTGTGGTGCCAGGCAGGAGACTGTGGGCCAAGGAAAGTGGCTTGGTCTCAGTTTAAGCAGCTGGAGGGCTCAAGTCAAAAACTATCACACTCTGAAGTTATAATGAGACTTTTTTTGTACCAGAAATCGAATTCAGGACCTTGTGCTTGCCAGGCAGGCACTGTGCCACTGAGCTATAACCCCAGCCTGGATATTTATTAAAGATGTTATAAAGTGGGATATATTTTCTAAAATGTCAAGGAAAACAGTACTTACAATTAGTGATAGAGTCTTTAGGAGATTATTTTATAAAGGGCGTTGGCCGACAGAAAGAGGTAACGATAAAAATCCAGCCTTATTAGCATTACATTTGTAGGCCTCCATCACTCAGCCCTAACTCTAACTTCCCAGTTTCATGTCATCATGCTCCCCATTTCCCTGGAGTATGCCATTTCCTGAGATGGAATTCCTCTCATACTTTCCACCAAGATTCTCATCCTTCAAGGTTTAGTTTAAACACCACTTCCTCAAAGTCTTTCGTAATTGTCCACCCTTTAGAATCATTCTCTTCTTCATATTTCAACTAGAGCTGTCTGCAACTTCGCTGGAGCATTTTTCTCATCCTGGGTTATGTCACACTGCCTAATAAATCTGCGTCCTTCACCTCATTGCGCTTACTTTGGTAATTCCCCCTCTCTCCTCCACCCTTCCCTGTTTTGTGTCTACATCTTACTAGTTGTTGTTTCCTTCCATCTCCACTCCAGGCTCCAAAGAGTGCCTTGCCTAATGTTTTTTCATAAAGTAGACATATAACGAATTTAATTAACTTCAAGCTCTGACTGAATTTCCTAATACTAGAAGAGTTTAATGAGGCCAAATTCTGGCTTTTATAAAAGCTTTATAATCTCTAGCCAACACTTCTAATTTCATTTCCAAACCGAGACCATCTATAAAAGTTTCCAACTTTTGGGTAAAATTAGTTCTTTTTCCTTTGGTTAAATTTATTGGAACCATCTGTGATACACTGATGAGTTATTCTTAAGAATCAAGAGAACATTTTAAAAATATTCCTCTGGCCAGATGTAGTACACACCTATAATGCCAGTCCTCAGGAGACTGAGTTTTTTTTTCTTCTGTATTTAGGGCAGGGTCTACAAGGTTTACAGGGTCTACATTGGACTCTTAGAGATTCTCCTGTTTACAGCCTCCCACGCTCTGGGATTACAGGCATGTGCCACCATGACCAGTCTCAATCGCAGTGCACCCTGGAGGCGGGGCAAGCACAGCAAGCAAGGGATCAAACCCTGGCCACTGCATGCTCTGCCTAAGCAGGCGCTTTAGACCGCTGAGCTATCAGGTCAGCCCTAGGAGCCTGAGACATACGAAAACTGCAAGTTCAAGACCAGCCTGGGCAAACAAGATGCATCTCCAAAAAGTTGTCTAGTGGTGTAGCTCAGTGATGGCACGCCTCTGAGTTGGATTCCCCAGTACTGCAAAACCAAATCAAACCAAACAAACCAAACTCAACCTACTCCAAACTCCCTCTTGGGCAGAACACTTATCAGTTTAACCCAGTAGTTTGCCCCAATGGTAAAAATGTCATTTCCTGAAATACAACTGTTTAAGGTTAGGAATACAGTGCAATAAATACATAGGGAAGGTCCTGATTTTCCTCACTAACCTCCACCAAACTTGTAATTCACATGTATTATTTCAACCTGACTATCCTCTAAAATACTGTCTTTTGATAGGCTATTGCTTACTACATAAAGAGGCCTAACACTCATATCCTTAGGTCTGGTAAAGAATCAATATTTATCTCTCCTAATCTGTTCTACTTATGGATAAATTATCTGATGACAGGATCATGACTAATCACTCTGGCTAACCTATACCAGGTTTCTAACAAAGGTTAATCTGATGAATACCGACTCATTATTTTTGTAGAATCAAATCATACCTTCCTTTCTGATTTATAATTGGATAATATAGACTTGGCTATAATTAATATTATTGACCATGTATAATCATTCAAATAATGACAGCATAGGAAAGGATTCCTTTTAAACTTAATGAAAACCAAAATACAGGAGCAATTGTATCAACTAGCAGTGAGTCACAGTAATCATTACATAGAAAATGGCTAGAAGTGAGCTCTTGTGCAAACAAACTCAACTTGAGAACAAAGATTATATTACAGAAAGAGAAAATGACTTTTGTTATTGTTGGGAGCAAACAATGTCAGATGCACTTAGGCAACTTTTATAAAATGTCACTCTTCAAACACTTAGCCTTCTCAATGGAATCAAGAAGTTTACTTCTAATCCAGAAATATTTGCTTACTTTAAAAATAATGAATTAACTTTGCCATTCAATAGGCCAGAAGCAGTAACAATGTACTACTGAGGAGCACCCTTAGCATCCAGATTGTAGTGTCTAAGAACCAGTCCCATTCCTCACAAAAAAAGAACCAAGGATCTTGGTAGAAATGGCAGCTCTGTAGAAAATATACAAGTTGAGCCTGGTATTACTTATTGCAGTAGAAAGGAAAGAAGCTCTCAGAAGCTATTTTTTTTGAAAGACACTACTCAGAAGGGGCCAGATGGTCAATTCAGCAATAAGAAGAAAAATGTATTCAACTAAATAAAACACATAGAGAAATCCACTAGTTATTAAGATACAGTGGGGGAGGGGGATGAAGTTCACTGAACAGCAGTGGGAATTTCTAGGATACTTACTACTCTATAAAATGATCCATGGCAGCATTTGTTCTGCCTCTCTCATTTGAAATCTTTCTGGAGTAACCAAATGGGTATAGTGGATGAAGAAAATTTATTATCTATAAAACTACCAATAGCTGCCGGGTTCCAGGAACCCCCAGACACAGTCTAGCCCAGGTCCAGTGAGTGTGCGGAGAGCTTCCTGCTACCCTGCGCCAGTGGTACCAGTCCCAGCCCAGGCGCAGCGTGGGCCGGACCCTCTCCCACCCCCTTGGGCTGCCCCCCACCACTCTGCAGTAGCTCCCCCACCCCGCCCGCCCAGTAGGAATTTCTGCCGAGTTCCGAGAACCCCCCAGACTCAGTCCTAGCCCAGGTCCGGTGAGTGTGTGGAGAGCTTCCTGCTGCCCTGCACCTGTGGGACCAGTCCCAGCCCAGGCGCAGTGTGGGCCAGACCCTCTCCCACCCCCTTAGGCCGCCGCCCACCACTCCGCAGTAGCTCGCCCACCCCGCCTGCTGAGTAGGAATTTCTGCCGAGGTCCCGGAACCCCCAGACGCACTCCAAGTCCAGGTCCGGTGAGTGTGTGGGAGAGCTTCCTCTTCCCCCTACTTCACCTTGCCCCCTCCAGGGGGCATACATGCCTGGGGTATAATCCTGCAGCTGCAATCCCTGCAGAGAGTGTAGAGGATAGATCCAACCAGCTAGTTCAGGAGCAGAACATCTCGCCACAGGGGCACAACAGGTTCACCTTCAAGGGCAGCAG